GTGTCCCTTTCACTGCTCAAGCCCAGCCAGGACCACCCCCACGAGTGCAGTCTGTGCCTGAAGGACGTCGGCGGGACACCATCGCTGGGAACGGACACCGGCGAAACTGATAGCCGGGGCTATTCTGGTGAGTGCCGAATGACAGCAGGACATGTGTGTCTGTGTGATAGATCCTCGCATCTCATTTTTTTCTCTCTTTTTTCACACTTACTTGCGCAACCTCGTGCCAACAGCAGGACCATGTCTGTGTGATAGATCCTCAGCAGCAGCGCAACAGCAGTAGTTGGCAAGCGTAAAAGAGTTGGTACACAGTGTACAACCACACCTGCCCTCTGCTCATGCGACGCGCTAATATTTCCACAAAAATCTCTCCCTGTCTGTACGTTTATGGATCGTGCCAGTATGGGACAACATCCACGGGGTGTTTTCGCACTGCGCCGGAGCAAAGACCTCGGACGGTAAACGCTTCAAGAACGCCACCATCGCCGGCTCGGAACACATCGGCGTAAGTCTCATGTCTTCATGTCTGCGTCGCTTTGGGGTTACATTGATCCATTGTCCGGTACGCGTGCCAGAGGATTGATCGTTGCTCCTGCCGTGAAAATATTTCGGCCTGTCGTAAGAAAAACAATTGTTCTCCCGTAAAAAGTTTAATCGGTGTGCCCTTCTGTACCTGGGCCTGCGAGAGGGGGCTGCCCTGACCTCCGTCGCTTTAGCGTTAAATTGATCCATTGTCCGCTACGCCTGCGAAGAGGGTTGCTGGCCTGACCATTCTGCTGGCTCAAAAATATTTCGTTCTGTCTTATACAAAAATAGTTCTCACGCAAAAACTTGCCAGGAGTGTGGATGGTGCAGATTTGCTGTGGGTGCCTCCGAACATGTGTTTTACGGCTGTGCTGAAGATTTGCTGTTGCGCGCTTTTTCCGTCCGCACGTCCGTTTCGCAAAAAAAAAAAAGAAACTTTGTCACAGCTACGACCCTGAGCAACCCGCGGCCATTGACCTCGACAGCGGCTGCACGGGCGTCATCGCCGACGGCGACTTGGTCGTGAAGGACTGGGACGAGCCTCCCCTTCACCTCCTCTGCGCCAAACGCGAGTGGAGGAAGACCGTCATCAGCATCCTGCGCAAGAAACAGCAACTCCGTGATCTTGACTCCACTGAAAAACAAGAGGCTGCTCAGCCCTCTGCCGAGGTTCCTGCTAACCTGGCTGACTTTTGAGGTGCGACTTGATTTTATTATTTGGTCGACGATCCTAGGGCTGACGCTCCCCTTGCACCTTAACCTTCAACTGAATCGTTCGGATACAACCTTTACGCATGTCACACCGTGTTTTGCGAAGTTCAACGACAAATGCTAGAGAACAGAGACGTAGACGAGCTGCCGTGTTAGCCCAGCGTCGTGCTGCTACACATTTATCTCAGAGACGTAGGCGAGCTGCAACTTTAGCACAGCGTCGTGCAACAGGACAAAACAACTCAGGAAGCAACCCAACCAACAATCACCTTAGCATAGTGCAACAGCATTTCAACCGCATGAGAAACCGCCCTTCAAGACTTCCACCAAGTGTCGACCCTCTAAGTGATGACGAAGATGAACACAATCAGCCCATTAGACGGGGAGGTCAAGATTTTAACTCTCCTGACATCGACTTTCCCCTTGACTCCTATGAATTACAGCATACGTCATTGCTCGACGAAAACAACTACCGTTGCCCTCACTGCAATTCTGTACTTTGGAAAGAAGAACGAGCGAACCGTTACAACTGCTGTAAAAACGGCAAAGCCGCTATTCATCCCCTCCAACCCGTGCCATCAGGCATCATGAGAATTTTTCAAGACCCAAAATTTCAAGCTTTACAAAGAAGATACAACGGCCTGTTTAGCTTTACAGCTTTAGGAGCCGGTGGAATTCAAAAGAAGACCTGGACCGAACCGCTG